GAGCAGGAGCTCACTTGCAGATCTCAATCAATTCTCAACCCTGGAGGCAGGGACTCTCATTATCCTCATTTTATAGATGAGGAAATCAAGGCTTAGAGAGATGAAGTGTCTCGCCCAAGGTCTGGCTTGGAAGCCCTGCTCTTGATCTCTATACTGCACGGTTCTGGCTGAACATTTGAATCACCTGGGGAGCTGGTGAAACTGAAATATGCTGGCCCCGCCCTACCTATTGACTCAGACTTTCCAGGGGTGGGGTCCAGGTGTCTATTTTTCACAAGCTGCCATCTGGTCTCTCTCAAGACACCCACAGTCTCTCTCATGGGCCTGGGCAGCCCCTGACCACTGGGTCAGCAACCATAGACCTCCCGAGGCTTCATTTATTCATTCTTTCCTCTGGAAGCCTGGGGGAGGGAGGCTGGTTCCCTCTGGGGACTTGGAGTCCTTTAAAAACCCAGGTGTAGGCATAGGTGTGGGCGTCAGGTCCACATTGACAATAAGTCAGTAAGGGCTGAGGCTGTAGCTCAGTGGCAGAGTGCTTGCCTAGCATGCACCAAGCCATGGGTTCAATCCCCAGTACCCCTCAAACAAACAAAAAGTCAGTAAGGAGGCGGACATGATGGTGCATGCCTGTAATCCCAGCTTCCTAGTAGGCTGAGGTAGAAGGATCGCAATTTCAAAGTCAGCCTAGGCAATTTAGTGAGCCTGTCTCAAATAGCCTTCAGGATCCTAAAGCCAACAGACCAGGAAGTACCTTCAGATACAGGGGGTTTGGGAATTCATAAAAGCACCAAGAGATGACTTCACAAAGAATGAATAATCTCTCTCCTAAATTGACTATAATCATTAAAAGAGTCTAGGTTCCAAGTGATCCTTTTAAAAGACATAGATCCTTCAAGTAACTGAACGTACTTCAGTGGGAACTGAAGTGCAACTATTATCATGAAGACCTGAGAATTTTAAAAGGTGAATCTCTGGATTATCTGTGTAACCTACTGTGGGCAAGAGCGGGATGGAGGGGTTGGGTGTGGACAGAGACCTAGAAAAAGGAAAGGAGAGGTTGCATCAAGGATTGAGTTCATCTACTCCGTGTCTTTGTTTTTAGTTATTTTTGTAGACTGGCTGGGCAGCTGGGTGGCTGGGTGTTCCCCAGATGAACCTTCTTTCTTTGATAGATGAGAAACTGGAGGACCACAGATGTAGAGTCACTTTCCCAAGGTCACTGAGCTGGGGAGCAGTATAGGTCACAGCCTGTGTATTTCTGAGTCATGTGACCTGCATGTCATTAAGTCATCCTCCCTTTCCCACCCCCATGTCCTTGCCTGAGGAGAACAGCAGCACAGAAGGGTCAAGGCAAAGCAGATGACCCTGGCCAGCAGATTTCTGGACTGAATGTTTTTAACTTTCCCTCTATGACATAGAGTTAGGAGGCAAAGCCTGAAGCTCAGAGACTTCAGTAGGAACAGACCCTCCCTCGGCTCCAGGACTACCCTGAGTGTCAGCTGGAAGCTCAGGAGCCTGGGAGGCCACCTGCACACCCCTCCCTGTTTCCCCCCAGCTCTGGTCTGTCAAGGTGAAGCTGCAGGCCTGCTGTCTCCCCTCCCCAGTCCTCACCAAGTCAGACTCACTGCTTCATATGCTCATCCCTGCCCATGGCCTGACAGGGAGAGTGGTGACCACATTCACAGCCTGGGGAGAGGGTATGGCCACTAGGACAGCCTCCCTCTGAAGGGCTCCCTATTTGTGTTTTCAAATTAAAATGCCACAGCCCTCTGTCTGGAGGGCTTCACATTCCTTGAGCTCTTTAAAGGAGGTTCTGGGCATCTGCGCAAGCCTCCAGCCTCATCTCCGTCCATCTGGCCAGGGGTGCCATTGCCACTGGTCTGTTTTCAGCCCAACTGGATGAAAGCATCGTACTTTTTACAAGTATGCAGAGGGTAAATTTCATCTGGTTTCTCTGCCCAAGCCTTTTCTTCTCCAGGGAAGTGCTCTCCACCCTTCCAGCTGTTCTCAGGCTTGCTGTTCTTCCTTCTGCCCTGGCCTCATCAGGAGTTTGCCTGGGACAGCCAAGGCAGCCTCTCCTCCTGACACTCAGGGGAGAGGCAGCAATTCTCACCTGGGTATAGATTGCCCTGGAATAGTAGGGAGTCTCCCTCCTGGTCCCAAATGTGGACTCCAAGGTTAGGGGCAGTTTCAGTAAGTATAACCCTGAGACTTTCCCCCTTATCCCCTAGTCTTGCAGGGGAGGGGATGGGTCTGGCACGGTCTGTCTCCTCTGCTTCTTCTTCTGCCTTCTGACCACTTCTCTATTACGTCTCTGCCTTTCTGGCTTCCCTACCCTCAACATTATTATTACTTCCTCCCACTCCAGTGTTCACCCCTTGGATTTTTGGGGAAACTTGCCTTCCCTCCTATGCAGGGGCTCTGCCATTTCTGTCCACTCCCAATTGGCCTGAGCTTTCCACTGTTGAATTAGGTTCCCAGAGTGAATGAGTTTTCTGTCAGGTAGGAGTGAAATCTACCATTACCTGTGTGACCAGAGTTGCTGCAGTGGGTACAATATGAGCTTTAAGTGGTACAAAGACAGTGTACAGTTCAAATGCGTGAGCTCTCCAAGGACTCTTCCTAGAAATACTCAATCTGTGGGGGGTGAGGAGTGGGTGCTGGGACAGAGCTTCAAACTAGGAAGCCTTACTGGCAGAGGGCATCAGAAAACAGGAACCACATAAAGGTTGTACCCATCATACATGAGGGACACAGAAAGCCTGGAGAGATCTCAGCAGCCACAGACATGGAAAATGATATCTTGGAAGCAAGAAGCCATGGGATTGATTCTCCTGGCAAGATATAAAGGGGCAGAGTGGGAGGTGGGGTATGGGACACAGACTTTCTGCAGGGATGGTGTTTGGATGATTTATTTTTCTTCCACACATTCAGAGGTCTCAAATAGACAACATGATTTTTTCCCCCTGATACTGGGGAAAAATTTTTTCCCCCTGGCCCTTTTGAGATAGGGTCTTGCTAAGTTGTTGAAGCTGACCTCAAACTTATAATCTTTCTGCCTCAGCCCTCCAAGTCACTGGGATTATAGGTACATGTCACTATGCGTAACGAGACCTATAACAAAATAATTTAAGATGCATGAAAGGAAAACCTTTCTGTTGGAAGATTCTCCCCAGGAGACCAAAGGTAGACCCTCCTTTCTGAGAAAGTAGAAAATCATTTATTAAAATGTTGACAAATCTGGCTAAGGGATAGATTATGAGATAGGACCAGCTTGGCACATCCAAGTTCAGCAATATGGGGGCTAAATGGAGGTCAGGCACAATGCCTATTCTATTCCATTTACCTGCCAGGTTTCTAGGCACCTCTTACCTTGGTCATTAAGAATGGAGACTGAGATTGTGACCCTCTTTTGAAGGAGGGAAAGGGAGATATCAGGAATATAGGGCCTTACCTCATGCCAAGACCATCATCTAATGTGGGACACTCAATAAAAGTCACAGTGCGTGAACTAACCCTGAAGGCAGGTCCAGAGAGTTGAGGCCAATGCTGCTTCATTCCCCGTGTTTGCTGGTTCTAGCAGCCTTGACCCTTGCTTCTTCCTGCACTAACTGGAGTGGGGAAGGCAGCACTAACCCACTGGGGGTAGGTGGGGCGGGGGGTGGGGTGGGGAGAGAATTATCTGGCCTCTCCAGGACCTTCCAGAACTTCTAGATGGCAGATTTTCTTGGACAATCACTGATGGGACTTTTCCTGGGCTGGCTTCCCAAGGTCTGAAGGCCCCCGTTTCCTTCCCAGTCTGGTGTGAGTGTGCATATGCTCATGGGTGGAACAGGACGGTGAGCTGGGCAGTAGTATAATGGGGTCAGCAGTTCTCACCCCCTCCCCAGCTCTGTCCCACCTGTAGTTCAGCAGGCTAACTTGATTTAGAGGTGGAAAAAGGCCTTTATATCCCTCTGCTCCCGAGGAAGTGACTGACTGGTTAACTGTCTTTCTCCAAAGCCAGGAGGAACTGGCAGGGAGGAGTAAGGTGCGTGCCCAAGCATGACTCTGGGGAGCTGTGTGTGCTCATCCCATGGAGTCTGGGAGGTGGCCTAACTCATGGTCCTCAGACCCCATGATGCACAGTGGCTCTGTATGTACTTCACTGAAGCTTCTGAATGGTGGGCAGCAACATCCACCCAGCCACGCTGGCTCAGTCACCCAGTACCAGTCCTCCAACCTGAGCCAGGGCCGCTGGATGGCTGGATGGCTGGGTGCCCAGAGCAGCACAGCACTCATGCTGAACACCCAAGCAGCAGGGACTGATATGGTGTGTCTGCCAGCCTCCCCTGGGTCCCAGTGCCCCTCACCTTGAGCTGGGACTTGGAGACCTTGCCACTCTTCTCTACATCCAGCGCGGTGAAGGCATACCAGATGGACTTGAGCAGCTCCTTGCGCAGGGCCATGGCTGAGGCGCCCGCCCGGCCTAGGGGCGGCTCTTAACATCAAGATCCGGTTTCAGGAAATGCAAAACGGCTGCAGAGACCGCAGAGGGGCCCTGGTGCAGAGCAAGAGCTCCACCTGCCTGCTTGCTCTGGCTCCCTGAGCTGGCCTGTGGCTCTGGCAGTGCTCAGCAGCCCCATTCCCCTGCATGGAACAGGGACCAACTTTCTCAGAATTGGGGTCATTGTTCTGATGGGACTGGTTCTCTGGCTGTGAGGACCTTTTAGAAGCCTCTTTGCCCCAGGGCCTTCCTAGGCTACCAAGAGGCAGCTCCCCGAGGGAAAAAGAAAGCCCATCTTGACTTCAGAGTCACAGTTTACCAGGCGTGAGGCCTTGAATTAAGTAACCTAACCTCCCTGAATCACTTCCTCTTAGTAAACAGGAAAAATACCAACCTTACAGAGTGGTACAGATGTCTGAGAATGGATGTAAAGTCCATAGAAGGCTTTGGGTAAAGCATTTCTTTTAGTGCCACCTAGTGTAACCTTGGTGGTGGGGCTCCACCCAAGAGGAATGGCAGGGCTCCACCCAAGAGGAAGAAAACAAAGACAATGCCACAAAGCTAGAGGAAGAACCCAGCCAGGGCACCTCTCTAGGTCAGGCAGACTTGGCATTTGATTTGCTGGCTTACTATTCCCTGGGCATTGGCTCTAAAAGGCACAGAGGGCACTGGTCACTCTGGGCCTGGTGGCCCTGAAGACACCAGACTATATCTGAAACACACAAGGGTGAGTCTTGTGGGGCCCAAACTCAGGGATTCTGGCAGGGGCAGTTTTGGGATTTGGGGCCCTCCATATCGGTATTACCATATCTTTAGACCCAAAGCCCATGAGGGCTGGGCATATCCACTTCAGAAGTAGGGATTTCAAGCCACCTGCAGGACAATTCTGAGACACTCCCTTGCTAGGGGCATGCCTTACTATTCTGCTTCCAAAGGGATGCAAGAGTAAATGGGAGCCTTCTAGCTATACTAGGAGTATGGGCCAGGGGATGGGGTTCCATTCTCACGTGGTAGGAAGGGGCTTGGGACACCATCACAGTTGAGAGAGGGAAAGAGACATCTCCAGCTCCTGCGGTGCTTCCGCTTGGGCAGGGTCAAACCCACAGCTCCTTCCCCTGCATCCCTTCCTCCCACTGGGACTGGTCTGATCTTACCACTCACTTTTCAGTCTGATTATGGCTTTGAAATCCCACAACAGAGCCCCAGACTCTGGGTGTACCCCATTTCCCAGGGTTGGGTAACATAACCAGGGCTTCAGCACCAGAGCAGCGAGGCATCAGAAACTTGGTAACCTTGACGGAGGTGCCCCTCAGCCCTGCTTTAACCTGAGGCTTTGCCCCCTGGGAGGAGCTGACTGTGTGCAGTCAGGAGTGGCTGGGGCTGGAAGGGCTCAGGCTACATTCCACAAAGATAAGGCAGGAAAAGAGTTCTTCCAGCCCACCATCCCAATGACCGAGATTCAGTTAGAGCTTGGAAGCAGTGGTCACCCTAGAGCCCACCTGCTCAGGTGGTAGGAAGACACCAGCAGCTCTCCTGGGCTTATCTTACATGAGGCCTTTCTCCTAACTGGGTCCCAGGTAGCCCAGCCTACCAGTTAGGCATCAAGGCCGAGCAGTTTGCGTCAGAGAAACAGGGCTGAAAGCTTGACTTGATCAACCCTGCCACCAGGGTCCAGAGCTGAAAGGATGGAAGAAACCAGGTGGAAACTTGGAACTTTTATTAAATACGCATTCACCTGTTTGCCATCGCCACCCAGAGCAGGGAAAAATAATAATTATCAAAATAGAATTAAAAAAAAACACACACAAAACAAATTAACCCCAATCCCCAGCAATCTATGTACAAGGCCACTCCCTGCCTCTCTGCCACTGAGAGGTTGGGGGGTTGCTGGGTGGTGGGAGCTGGGCACCTTTACTCCAGCCACAGGCCCCTGAGGAATTTATTCTTACTGTGGTGGCAGGAAGTCCCTAGTGCCAAGTGGCCAGGCATCTCTGCTGGCCTCTGGGGAGGTGGTTATTGCTGGGAGGGGCAGGGCTAGGCCTGCTCTGCCCCCACTGGGCTGAAGAGCTATTAGCTCTCTCCCCTGGTAGGCCATCACCAGTCATGGTAGAGGCCAGTCCCCACTGCAGCCCCAAACTCCACCTGAGAAGGGTTATGGACTGAAGGTGGGAAGGGTGTTCTCCAAAGGGAGGAGAGTGGGCGCCCAGGGCAGCCTGGTGATCAGGCTTGTGCTCCTCAGCTCCTGAGGATGACACACTCCCAATTCCCACTGCCTGGCCCTTCTTGTGTAGGGCCCCCATCCCCTTCAGTTAGACCATTTTCCTGCTGCTGTCTCACCCGAGACCTATGTGGCCACCTTCCATGTTTCAGCCACAGCTGGGGCCCTTGGAGGCAGAGCCGCCTGTGAAGCACAGCACCTCCTTCAGCATAAGTGGGAGCCAGCCCTCGGGCTCAGCAACCACTCTCCGACACTGCTGTCTCCAGAGTCATGGCCCCTTGCTGCATGGCAGCAGTGGCAACGCTGATAGCCTCTTCCAAGGTCTGCTGCTCCTCCAGCTGTGGAGAAGGGAGGAACATGTGAGATACTCCCTATTAGATCCTAGCATTAGTGGTATGTGGTAGATGCCCTCCATCTACCCAGGGTCACATGTGAAGCTCTTAGTAGGGCCCCAATAACAGAAGGTTCACCATGAAGAATTCTATTAGGTTAGGTATGGCCAGGGACCCAGGATGGCCCAGGGTCAGAAAGATTGGTTTGTTTGTAGACTAATTGTCTGGAGAGAACCTTAGTGATCATCCACCGTTAAGTCCCAGGTGAAGAAACAGAGATGAATGGCTGAGCCACAGGTGGACTGCCACGGGAGTTATCCTGAAGGCTGGAAAGGGCTTTCCTATGCTGCTTTAGCCAAGAAAGAGCTTGAGACATATGTGTGGATGGACAGGAAGGGATTTGTCCTCTGAAATGGGCTCCTTTTGAGTCTGATGCCCTTCTCTTCAAGAATTCCACTGAATTCCTTTCCCCACTTGTTCCCTTCTCTGGTCTAAGATCCCCTTTCCTCTCAGACTTCAACCCACCTGCACTGCTATGTGTGTTCCGTTGGCTGTGGCCAACAGCGCCACCTGTTGATGATGAAGGGATGCTACACTTGAGTTCTCGGCCACCACAGCCCCAGAGGTAATGATTGTGACCTGAAACACAGAAGATCTTCCACCCACCTGCAGTACCCTCCATCTCCCCACTCCTAATAACAACCACTCCACACAAGATGGCTAGGAACAACCCAGAAAAAAATGGACAAGACCATGTAGATCATATTAATTAGTTTGAGGCTCTGAGATGAACGAGGTTGTGTTTTTCTCCAATTTAGAGCCCAGGAGAATTCAGGATTTCAAATCGTAGGACAGAGTTATAAAGGACCCCAGAGAGAATTTAATCCCTTCAGCTGAAAATAGACCTTGAAGTTCATGAAAAAGTGATTGCCTACTTTTCAGCAAAGCAAATTTAGAGTAAACTGAGATTTAGAAACCATCTCTTGACCCCATTGTGTGTGTGTGAGTGTGCGCTGTACTGCGAATTGAACCCAGGGGTACTTAATACTGAGATATGCTCTCAGCAGTTTTTTTAAAAGACAGGATCTCACTAAATTGTCCAGGCTGGCCTCAAACTTCTGGTCATCTTGCCTAAGCCCCTTGAGTGGCTGGGATTACAGGCCATGATACCCAACTCAAGTCAAATGCTTTTAAAGGTTTGAGTTGCCCAGAGGAGCTGCGGGGAAGACCTTTGATGGTGGGGAATCTTTGTCCTTGAAAAGGCTTGGCTAGTTTGGCCTGTACTTTCATGCCCACCCCATGGAAAGGTTAACAAGAGAACAAGAAACCCTAAGCAAACTGCCTGGTCATACGGGCTGCGTCTGGGTGCCATCAGCGCTGACCATGGTGACTGTATGTGTGCCAGATGTGGCCAGGTCATCGTTGTGGCTGGGGATGGTGAGGGTGGTGCTGCCGTGCTGGGTTACCACACTGATGGCACTCCCCAGGGCCTGCAGGTCTTCTGGGGACAGGCTGACCTGCCAAAAGGAGGGGAGAAGATGAGCTGGAACACCAGAAAAGGGGTGTCTGAAAACCCCTCAGGAGGGTGTCTGCTCTCCCAGATAAGCAAGCAAAACAGGGCCAAGACAGCAGAGAGCTACGCTAAAATTGACTAACCACTTCTGTGACCACCACTTTGCCTTCAAGCCCTGCTATTGCATCAGGGTCTTCACCAAATTTCATCCCTGACACCTCTAGAAGGCCTACGTGTACTGGGCAGAGAGGGTGTGGACAAGGGCCAGGTTATACTGCTGGCTGGTAACACTGGTGGGACTTCCAGGCTTCCGGAACCCTATACCAACGTGCCTCTTGAGAAGGACATTCAAATGTCTCAGTTGGACACCTATCAGCTTCCAAGAGGAAAGCTACTATTTTCCAGAAGCTGAGACTAGGCTGGAAGCAAGAGGCTGGGCTACACGATTTGGTCCCCTCAGCTTTAGCTCTCTGAAGTCCACAGAGCTAAAATAGAAATCTGCATGGAAGTGGGGTTGTCAGAACTTCAGAGCTCCCCAGAGTTCCTAGAGAGAATGAAGTGGTCATTTTGGCCTGCCCCAGCCCTGTACCTGCTGGGCACCATCCTGAGTGATGAGAGCCACCTGGGGAGCCCCATCCTCCTCAGTCACCATGGCCACTTGAGCTGGGATGTCATCACCCTCTTCCTTCACTTCTGACAGGTAAGCAATGCGAGCTCGCTTGGGTGGTGGACTTTCCTCAGCTGTAGAGGCGGCTAGGAGAGGAGAGCCTAGGCTACCTCCTGCCATTGGATGCATCTGGGAGGTCTGGCTTGCCCGACTCTTGCCCCCTGCCCACTCCCCTCACCTTCGAGCTGCTGTTGCTCATACAGGGCCTGCTCGCTCTCCTCGGTGGCCTCTAGCTCGCCATGGGCGCTGCGCTTGTGCATGGCCAGGGTGGAGGTCTGCCGGTAGGTCTTGCCACAAGTGCTGCAGGTGTAGGGCTTGCAGTGTGTGTGCACCACATGGTGTTTGTACAGGCTTGAGTACTCAGTGAAGCGCTTTCCACAGCCTGGCACCGTGCACACGTATGGCTTCTCCCCTGGGGACACTGGGCTGTGAGGGGGGTGGGAACTGGGGCTGGCAAGGGGGAAACTAAGGGGACAGGGATGGGGGACAGGGTTGGTGAAGGGAAAGCCAGAGGGAAGGAGAGGGACTGAGACCTGAGACTCTGAACAGACAGAGTTGGGGAAGATGGCCAGTGGATGACATGGAGGACCTGGGCATGGGATCTCTGAGCCCAGGTTTGATTTAATGTAACTGAAGTGCAGTGGTGAAAGAATGGGGTGGGGCAAGGCTGGGGTTGGGGAAGGGGTAGAGGGGCACTGAGGACTGATGAGGCTGAGGGTGGAAGGTTGGAGAGTGGTGAACAAAAGAGGCAGGAGGCGGGAATAGGGTCTGAAGTGTTAGGTAGACATGCATGGCTGAGAGATGACACAGAAGGCTGGACAAGGGATGTGACATTGGGGAGGGTGAGGACATACAGGAGTCATATGCACAGTGGATGAGGTGAGAAGCTGAAGGTGACATTTCACTGTTTCTTCCCCACCATTCTTGACCCTGGGGTCTTCTCAGGAACTCAGCCAGAGCAGAGTTTAGGGCAGGGATAGAGGAATGGTTGGGAACTGAGGGACCCCCCCAGAGGGCTGGCAATACCTGACAGGCTGGACCTAATTGGAAATGGAGGAACCACTTACTGCTAGTGAAACAGTGGCTCTGGGGATACCCACCCCCAGACCAGCCTGGAATGGCCGACGGGGAAGGGCTCCAGACTGGGAGCTGAGAGTGTGTTTCAGATCGGAAGCCTACAGTAGAGGGAGGTGGGGCCTCTAGAGGGTGGTCCTCGCATGCCAGCTGGCCCACCTGTGTGGATGCGCACGTGATTCTTGTAGTTGGTGGCGCTGGTGAAGCCACGGCCACAGTGGGGCTCGGGGCAGGTGTAGGGCCGCTCGCCTGTGTGGGTGCGCACATGTACCTTGCGGATATTAGATGTGGTGAAGGAGCGGCCACAGCCCTCAAAAGGGCACCGGAATGGGCGTTCACCTGTGCAGATGGGGGGTGTAAGGGGTGGCTCAAGAAAGGTGGCCATGTTGGAGCAAGAAAGGGATGGCACTGGGTGAACTGAGTCCCCCTTCCCCAGGGGTGGGCAGGGCGTTGCCTACCAGTGTGGGTACGGACGTGCTTCTGTAGGTCTCCTGAGGTCTTGAAGGCCTTGCTGCACAGTTCCTCTGGGCACTTGTATGGTTTCTCACCAGTATGGGTGCGAACGTGGCTCTTCAGACCATAGCCTATGCAAGTGTGGTGGGGTAGAGCACCAGTGGGACCTCATCTTCCACTGCTTGCCTCATTTACAGGTGCCCTCCATCCTAAACTGTGCTCTGGGAGGCTCCAAAAGCCCACACTGGTCTATTCTATGTTGCCTGGGCAGGGAAGAGGGCGTAGAAAAGCCCACTTTGTCCTCTCCTGTAGCAGCTGGAAGCATTACAAAAATGTAAGTATGAGAACCTAGAGAATCTGTGGCTAAAGGTCTTTGTTTCACAGAAGGAAAAATATAGCCCAGAGATGCCATGGCCCTCAGCACCCCACATCTAATGATTTTCAGAGCTGATATGACAAGGAGTGTCTCTCTACCTATGCCCCTGTTTCCTTCCACTGGCCTTGACCATGCTGCCTTTCGCTTCTGTAGCAGGGTTTCCTTCAAAGGCAGCACCTGCAGGTCAGAGCACTCTCAGTAGTTTCTCTAGATTGGCAGCCTGTGTTGTGCCTCTCTCAAGGAGGCCCCAAAGCTGATCTAGAATCCTCTGCTCTCAATTGGAAGCAGTCTACCTTCAGTCTCCATCCAGGTAAGTTACCTGTGGCAAAGGCCTTTCCACAGCTGGGGAAATCACACCTGTATGGACGGTCACCTGTGTGAGCTCGTTCATGCACCTGTGAGGACAAGAAATTGCATAATTCAGAGGGACAGGAGTATAGGCTCGTCTCTGGTTCTCTTCAGGGCCCTGGTTCTTCCCTGCTATTCTGTACATGTGTATCATAACCTCCTGTGCTGATGTTTCTGTGTATGTATCTCTTCCCTCTAGAAGGTAATGTGCAAATTGAGGGCAGGAACCAGTTCCAAAAAAGCAGAATGGCAGAATTTCAGCCTGGCAGGAAGGTAGGTAGAGCTGAAAATTGCCTACTAGCCACCTTACCTTTAAGTGATGTGCAGTGGTATAGAGACGCCCACAGCCCTTGTAGCCACAGCGGAATGCTCTGTCTCCAACCTGCTGCCCTTTGCCATTATGAGGAGCCTGGCTGTCATGTAGAACCTGAGGAAAAAGTCTTAGGGTCCCTATATGGATTCTCCCCATTGAAGGAAAAGAAGTGGTAGCATACAGGGTCCAACTGACAGCCTATGACTCAATAACATGGTAAAACTATCAAGGGCCTCTAGGGTAGAGGACATATCCAGACAGAAAGGGAACAGATATTCAGGCACACTGCAAGAGAAGCCATGCTGGCAATATGAAGTCATACTCATCTCTGATGGACAGAGCGGGGACAGTCACAGGGGCTGTGGTAGCTACTGAAGAAGGAATATCTCGTAGCCAATTAGGTGAGGTGGGGCATTTGGATGGCCATACTTGAGCTAGGCTGACTTCCAGGAACCTCCCTTTTAACCACACACTCCTAAGAGGCTGCAATTCTTGATATGTTCATCCTCTGATAGGAGGGCCTCCTCCTCCTGGTGGGAAACTGCACAGAAAGAGCATGAACAAGGGGGCTTGCTGTGTAGATGAGCTCAGCCAGGTTCACCTGGCAGGGCAAGGGGCCCACAGTGAAGTGGCTACAACCAGAAGTGCTCTAAAAGAGGGGGCACAAATTTAAGCCCTAACTACAGCACCCAGGTAACTAACAAATCCTTTGTTTTATTTAATTTCCTGGGGACACTGTTAGAGTCACCTGTCTGACACCAGCCTCAGACCAGAGAGCCCTTACTACTCTTCTGCTTTCCTAGGCATGGTCCTAGTGGGACTGTCCCTTACTCTTTTCTTTTGGGATGCTGCAGGATCACACTCTGGTCTTTTCAGGAGATCCTAGAACTCTGGAAGTCATAGTGAGGAGAGGACTAAAGGGTAAGACCAAATTCATGGCAAGATCTGTCTAATTTGGCTCCAGGTCAGAGGGGCAAATAGCTGACACCCACACAAGCACTCAGATTTCATTCCATGTCATACCAGCTCCCTGTAATTAGGGAGTCAAGGATCATCAGAGCTGGAAGCAACCCTGAGATCATCTGGTTCCATATTATGGTATTAGAGAGGAATAAGCTGAGGCCTGGGAGGGGAGTGACTCACCTGAGATTGGACTATGTGACGGCAGAGCCAGCACATATTTCAGGGCTCATGGTCTAAATAAAGACCAATTCTTTTTCCATCAGCTGTCAGTCTCACATTTGGTTTCTAAAATATTCCCTGGGAACAGGGGTGGGAGTGGGCAATAGCTAAAAGTGGTCTGCCACAGTTTTGTGTGGTGTTTTTTTTGAACTGGATTGAACCTAGGGGCACTTAACCACTGAGCACATCCCCAGCCCTTTTTCATTAAGTTACTTAGGGCCTCTCTAAATTGTTGAGGCTGGCTTTGAACTTGTGATTTTCTGCCTCAGCCTCCTGAGCTACTGGGATTACAGGTGTGCAGCACCATACCAGTTTGTGTTTCATTTTGAAGTGACATGAAGATTTCCTCTTTTCCTTTACCACACAGCCAATTTCACTGTATAAAAACAACTTTTCTTCAATCTTTGGGTAAATCTGGTGTTTCAGGAAACTGCCACAAATACTCCAAAGCTCTGCGGTCCAGCCAGGGAAAGATCACTCCAATCTGGAAAATTCACAGATCTCAGATCTCTGTGTTCCTGTCTTCCAACAGGCAGCACCACAGTTTCAGCAGAGGATGCTCAGAATGACTGGTATTTGAAGGGAAAGAGCCTTTTTTTCCTCCTTTTTTCAGTATTTGAGATCAAGCCCAGGGCCTTGCTTATGCTAGGCAAGTTCTCTGCCTCTGAGCTGTATCTCCAGCCCTGAGCCAGGAGTCTATTTTTCAACTGAGTTACTGTGTGGGCCTCAGGTTCCAAGAATCCCACCTGCTCTGTTGCATATGCCCTGGTCATTGCCCTGCCATGCTTATTTTCCCAGTGACTAAATAGTTGCAGAGAAGAAATAAATACAAGAGTATCTGACTTCAGTGGATAAAACAAAAACAAAAAACTAATAAAAGACACTGGCAGGGGCTTTCCTAAAAAGTACAGAGGACTATTACAGCAGCCAAAGAGAAGCTGGGCCTAACTTCCCATCACACAATGCTACTTTTTTTTTTTTTTTTACAGCAGCCTTCTCTCTTCAGAGACAGGCATAAATGTAATCAACCGTAGCAGACCCAGCCCATGCCCTGGACAGGGACATGTGAGATGATCTGGGGTAACTTGGGTAGAGGGGCAAAGACAGTATTGCCCAGGTCATGTTCAAGCACAGGGCTGCTCCTGTCCTCTGGAGAGGTGAAGTTCTGGTAGGGCCAAGAGGTAGTGGACAGGTGAAGCCCCACGGTTGTGAGTGAGGGATAGTGTCAGGATCTGCGTGCTCACCTTGCTTGCATACTGCTCCAGGGCTACCACTGTGTCTGCGCTAAAGCCCTCATCATCTTCTGCTGCCAGATCTTCTAAGCCCACCTCTGTCTGCACGGCCAGGATGGTGCTGTCTGATGGCACAGCCACAGGATGGTGAATGTAGGCAGTGGAGCCATCTTCCAGCTGCACAGCTTCCAGGGCACTGGGATCATAGCCCTCTGCAAGGAACACACGATTAGCCCTGAAGCCACACAAGAGGAGAAGACAGAGCTGGGAACCTGGCTTTAACTTAATGAAAGGTACACATTCCAAGGAGTTTCAACATCAAGTTTGTCCTGGCCTTCACCTTGGTGATTCCTTCTTGCTAGTGGGAATTCCTTCTGGGGTTGCCTCTCCTAAGGACAAGGTCTCTATGGTGTGCTGATTGGAAACTCACTAGCTCCTCAAGGACCTAATGGGACCACCATCACCTGGGCTTAGATGGCCACAAAGGCTTCCTGATCAAGCACCTCTCCCCTGTTCTACTTCCTTCTAGGCAGCATGGCATCTATAGGAATCTTACAGGACACAAAGGTGATCCCATCACCTAACTGCTTTAACAGTTCAAATGTTTCCCACTGGTCTTAGGACAAACACCAAGATCCAAACCCCAATGCAACCAGTGAGTGCTCTGCCTTTCTCATTCTGGCTTCCTCTTAACCACTCTCCTCTCTCCCCTAGTCTTCTAGCTCCCAGAAGTTCCTAGAATGTGCCATTATTTCTCCCAGCTCTCCAGCTCCATGCCTACCATGCTATTCCTCTGTCTGCAGTACTGAATGCTCCCTGCCACCCTCCTTCCCCTAGCTAAATCTATCCATCCTTCAGCTCTCAGTTCCAGCATCACTTCCTTAGAGAAGTCCTCCCTGAGCCTGATCCCAGCTTGTAATGATCAGTTCATCAGTGATGGCTTATTTCACTTCTCTTTCCCCCTCTAGACTATGGGTGAGCATGGACTGTGTCTAACTTGATTCTCCCTTGTATGCTTCATGCCTAGCACAATGGCTGACATATAGTCGTTGCCCAAGAAGCACTTGGCCACTGGGATTTAACTCAGGAGCACTTGGCCACTGAGCCACATTCCAGCCCTATTTTGTATTTTATTTAGAGACAGAGTCTCACTGAGTTGCTTAGAACCTTGCCACTGCTGAGGCAGGCTTTGAGCTCATGATCTTCCTGCCTCAGCCTCTTGAACCTCTGGGATTACAGGCATGTGGTATCGAACCTGGCAGGAGCTCTATTCTTAAATATTGGTTAAGTTTCTTTTTTCCTGGCTACGGATGATGTCCTCAAGTCCTATTTAAAGCCTTAATACTTTGTGGACGTGCTGGAGCCAAAGTCACCACCAAGGCCCACGTACAGACTCTTAAAGCTTAGCCTCCTGGTGGCAGAGACAGCTGTATGCACAGGAAAGGTGGGTAAGGCTGCTAACAAAGGTGAGCATACATGTGCTTCGGGGAGGACAGCATCTGTGTCTATATTCTAATCATCACAATGTGCCACTCTATCCCCTCTGCCCTGACCTCTGTCAGTTCTGTGTCCATTCTTTTCCCTGTCAGTTGTGATGTCCATGAACCCACCTTTGGGTGTGCGGTGTATATAGGCCATGCTGCCATCTTCCAGTTGCACAGGCTGTCCATCCTCAAAGGAGAGAGATTCTGTAATGAGAGCAATGCCAGTCTTTCTCTGGAGCTTGGAGCCACAGAGGGGTCCTTGATGGGGACTGCCATCCCTCCACAAGCCAGGGGTGTGTTGGTGTCCTCACCTTTCTGTACTGTCACTTGGTGAATGTATGCGGTGGTCCCATCCTCAAGCTGGATCACTTGCCCTTCAAGCAGCTTCTCTCCTATGGAGGTGGAAATGGAGAGAAATGGGCCAGGCCTGAAAAGGACTCAGAGATGCCTGTTTTTAGAAAAGGCCATTTGAGACTCTGGGCATGAGCCTGTAGCACAGATAATGTTCACCAAGTTTCCTTGCTCCTGAACTTCCTAGGCCTGGGCCTTGAGGCACTGAGAATAAAGACATCCTGTCATTCAGGAACCTTGCATCTCCCAGCAGATCCCCTTCCTGTCACTCACAGGGGAGAAACTTCCTTTATTATTCCGCCCAAGCCCGGCAAAGTGGGGATTTCCAGCCTAACAGAAACTGCTGAGATTGAACTAAATGGAGAACAAAGGAAACCCAGGAGGGACCCAAATGGTAAAAACTCAGACACAGCTCAAACTAATGAAATCAAAATATATTCCTTTGTTTCACACTGTGGTAGTGTGCCAAGACCTTGAGCCTCTGATAAGACAGTAGTATAGCACAGTGGTTAAAAGTAATGGGTTCTGGAACCAGTTTAAGCCTCCTGAGTGTGAATTCCAGCTCTATTTCTTACAAGCTGTGTGGCCTGGGTCAGCTTTTTAATCTTTGTGTCTCAGTTTCTTTCTTCTTCTTCTTCTTTTTTTTTTTTTTGGTGGTGCTGGGGATTAAACCCAGGGCCCTGTGCACAGGAGGCAAGCACTCTACCAACTGAGCCATATACCCAGCCTAACAGTTTCCTCTTCTTAAGAACTACATTTTCCTGGGGGCTGAGGATGTAGCTCAGTGGTAGAACACTTGTCTAGAATGCACATGCCCTAGGTTCAATGCCCAGCACTGAAAAATAAGACAAAACAAAAATTCTATCTTCCTCATATGGTTGCTGTGAGGGTTCAATGTGATAAATGAGAATGTGATAAGTCCTTAGCAAATTTTAACTCTTATTGTAACCAGTCCAATGTGCATTTTAAAAGAAATGGAAAGCAAAACAACACGAAGCTGAGTGGGACTATTATGCTATTATGTGTTCATCTAGTCTTACCCCATTGCTACTGCTACTACTAATAAAAAATTGACTCACATAAGGCAACACAACAAACATGATAAAAATTAAGACTGCAGATTTCCTAAGATAGTACCCTTCCTTTATCTTACTGGAAAGAACTTCTAAAAGGCTCTTGGAATTAGAATTAGATGCCCCCGTCCTCGTGTCCAGTGAGTCTGAGAGAGGGGGAAGGAAGAAAGGTAAGAAAGTAAGGGAGACTGAAGAGTTAATTACAAGTGATTTGTTTGTCCCTTTATTTTATTTTTATTTTATTTTTTAATTTTTTTTTATTTTTTATTTTTCAGTGGACACAACATCTTTGTTTGTACGTGGTGCTGAGGATCGAACCTGGGCCGAACGCATGCCAGGCAAGCGCGCTACAGCTTGAGCCACATCCCCAGCCCCTTTCTTTAGAAGTTTTACATTTTGGAATTTGATTCTTATGAGATAGGAAAAGAATGAGGTGGCTACTTCTGGCCCAGCTTTCTGCTATCTCCCCTTCAGAAGAGTCCCCAAACTTGTCTCCAGACTGAATTGTTGAGAGCCACAGCCGAAGGGGCCCCAGCAAACTTTCAGACTGCCAGCTGATGATTGGCTCACAGCAGCCCCAGCAACATCTAGCTGATTGGCTCCTCTGCAGTGATGCTCATTGGGCTGTTTCCCGCCCTTTCAGACTACGGAGCTGCTCATTGGGGAACTTTTTTTGGCTCCGCCCATGCGACCCAGCCAATCGGCCTCAAGAGCAGGAGGAGGCGGGGAGGTGGAGAGGCTTGTGGGAAGCTGGTGGTGGCAGTTGGGCTCTGAGGGTTTTTCCTGAGGAGCTGTTTTGTTTGGCGTGTGTGGTTCTAAAAATAAAGTTCATTTCTTTTGACAAGTGGCTCCTGAATTGTGCCCAGCCAGACTGCGGCACTGAATCTTCTTGGGGTCAGTAACCAACAGTCCTATAACCTGGCCGGAGGCAGGTGAGATGAAAACAGATGTGAGAAGCAGGAAAGGCAGCCGAGATAAGGAGGACCCACTTGCTCCTATCCTACCCTGAGAGCAGAAGACCATCCTTGTTCCCCACTGTTTCTGTCCTGAAAATGGCACTAGTTTTTGGCGTTCTGAAAGCATTAGCAGAGCTGCCAACAGAGTGGGGAGGCTTTGAGGCAGGAAACAAGACATTGGAAGAGTTGTTTGAGAAAAAATTTTAATGGACAATTTCTTCTAACAACCAGACACTACAATAGGGAAAAGCAGGGCAGAATAACTACCTCACAAGGGGCCTTGTGACCCATTATACAAGGGTGATCACATATCCATACTGAACCAGAATAGTTCCAATGAATTTAAGAATAGCACATTCTTCTATTCCTAAATTTTTTAGATTTGAACAATTACCCTAATTAAAGGTAAATCTCATGCAATTTTAGGGTTCTCCTGCTGGTGAAGCTGGGCCCGCACAGAATTCCTGCTGACAGAGATGAAAGTGCCTCTGTCAAAAGCTTTAGGGAGCTCATCAGAAGGGAATGTGATGATGTGTGTACATGTGCACACTGCCACACTATGGAGGAGGTAGGAACAGCACCAGGAAGTGACGAGTGACAGAGAGGTGAGGGAGGCAAGGAGGTTCAAATATAAGAAGGAAAGACATGTTTATGGTCAGATGTCTCACTCGCTTCTTACTCATTAATTCAACCATTAATTATCAGCAGAAGACAGGCTTGGGAACTAACTAGGTCCAAAGAGTAAACAAAGGCCCATCTACAGATCCTAAGTTCTTCCATCCATCTCACTACACTAGAGAGGCGGGACCTGTGGTGTGAAGTCAGAGAGTTTAAGGCTTCAGAAGTAGCTCCAGAAATTCGATCCTCAATGGAATGAAGCTAGTAAGAATGCACACATCAGAAACAGCTCTTGACGAGAACCCTTTCTAGCAGGCACCCTCCCCAACAATGTCATATGGAAAGACCTTACTAATGAGATTAAGGGATGTCTTTAGTCATTATCAGGGAACAGACAATTTTAAATAAAATTACTGAAACTTATCTTTTAACCTAGGAATGCAAGTTTATTTTGGGAGTGTGGTGAAATGAAGGAGGACACTACTACAATAATAATGTGGCCATGAGAACAGTGATGTTCATGAAACCCAGAACAGGTCAAATAAGTGGAAATAAGGCAGCGTTTTCCCAGTCCAGGGAACACATGACTATCACCTGGCATGCTTGAGAATGCTGGCAATAAAGGAGGATATCCCTGCGTGTGGGCCCTTCCCTCAACAGCGCTCTCTTCTGACTCCAAACCTACCTTAATTTGAAGTTCCCTGAAAGTGAGGATAGGGTTGGCAGATAAAATACACGATTTCCTGGTAAATCTGAATTTCAGATCAATAACAAATTGTTCTTAGGATAGGTTAAACATCTCTAATCCAAAAATCCAAAATCTGAAGTACTCCAAAATCTGAATGGATTTTAGAGTAGGGATGCTTAACAGGTAAAGTCTATGCAAATATTCTAAAACCCAAAAATTTCCAAAATCTAAAATACATCTGGTCCCAAGTGTTTTGGATAAGGGCTATCCAACTAGTATTTAGTGCCATTATTTTATTTTATTTTACTTTTTAGCATTTAATCCTTTGTTTATACATGTCTACCTCATACAGTATTTGGGACATGCTTATACTACAGAAGTATCTGCTGTTCATCTGCAATTCAAATTTAACTATGCATCCTATAGTTTTATTTCTGGTACCCACTAGACCCAGAAACAAAGGCATAAGCTCTCTGCTTCAGTACCCCCTCGAATCTAGAAAAGTAGCTTGTACAGGTAATTGCCCAGGACATAGTCTGAGTGCTTGAACTTGATGCAATTAAGATGGTGAACTTCCTCTAGAATGCATCGAGAAACTGGACATTTGAAAAGTAGGAAGTCATATCCAGGACTGTGTTCATCCATCCCAGAAATACTCATGAACTGCTCACTCCATGTAAGGAATTCTACTCTTTGAGACGTCTTGGCTCCTATAGCTGGGGCAATATGATTTTCTAGCTTGTGTAGGTAGCATTTTATTTTAAAGAGACCCATTTTCAAGTATCTCAGACTCTCACGCAGAGTAAGCTGTGGAGGAGGGCAGGGATGAGCAGGCAGGAGTGCAGGCTGGTGACTCTGAGAAGGGGATACTCCTTTCTAGAAGCTGAGGGATAGGATCCTGAGGTCCTGGGAAATACTCACCTTTGACAGCTTGCTGGACATAGGCTGTCGTCCCATCACTAAGGGTCACCGTCTGTAGACCCAAGCTCTCCATGGCAAACTGCTGCTCATGCACTCAGACATGAAGTTGGCTTCTGGCCACCACCAAGAGCCACAGGTGAGGTCAGAGATTTCCTTCTGGGTCACAAGTCTGAGAAAATAAACAGTGTCACATAAAAAGTTTCATGGCTTTCTTCTGGCACACGGAGTTAATGAGGCTAGCTAAGAAGACAGAGAAATAAATTTATTAAAGTAGAAAATTATGTTGGTTTTTATGAAAAGGGTTAAAAATATACACATATAAGAATTCTAAAAGATGAGCACAGAAGAGAAGCATGTCAAACTGGCTGTAAGCTAAGAATTCATGATCAAAACCTAGTTTTAAATTCGCTCCCCTCAGGGGGGAGCCTGGTTAAAGGCAGGCGGCCAACTTCACTGCTGCTGGTTCTCCATGACCTCCAACATCCACACACCAGCACTGTTAACCAACCTCAGGGAAGACCCCGTGGGTAATGGAACAAGTCCTTAACAGGACTTACATCATCCCCCAATACCTCAGAACTGTCCTATGTCCCTAGTACCCCCATCCCAAGGGTGGTACCTCCATCTACCCAGAAGCAGTGGGTTTATCTCTGAGTTCTCCTTTTCCCCAAAAAGTCCTATTTCAAGTAAGTATCATCTCTCAGATTATGTCCTCAGATAAACTTCTGCCTGTTTACAATTCATTTTCCAACACCCTATTAGCATGACCTTAAAAATAATACAAACTTAAATATCCCCTTTCTCTGTTTCAAACCCTTTAATAGTTTCTTATCACCCTTAGAAATTCACTCTGCAGGCATGGGTAGGTCCTGTTACAGATTTCTGTAGCCCTGGGTACCATCTCTTCCTAACATACACCTGGGCTCATCTCCTTCAATACCTACTTTTTTTTTTTTTTTGGTTTGAACCCAGGGCCTTGTGTATGTGAGACAAGCACTCTACCAACTGAGCTATATCCCCAGCACCTCAACTGACTTTTAACACCTGTTTCCTACATAGGATTCTAGGCTCTACTCCGGTTTCTGGTTTACAGTGGCTTCTCCAGCACCTTGTGCTGTGGGCTAGCACAGATCCTCTTGGAGTGATCACCAGGTTCTCATGTATCTGCCATGGCATGGAATCTATTCTAGTTGTAGAACAACACCCCCCAACACCTGTGAAGCCTGCAGGAAGCCCATAGCATCTGTTCTTGGTCTAGTTGTTAGGATTCTTTGTTTTTGTTTTTTTCCTTTTCCTTTTCTTTTTTTTGGTAATACCAGGGATTGAATCCAGGAGCACTCCACCCCTGAGCTTCATTCCCAGCCCCCTCCCCCACTTTTTCGGTGGTGCTGGGGATTGAACCCAGGGTCTTGTGCATGCAAAGCAAGCACTCTACCAACTGAGCTATATCCCTACCCCTATTCCCAGCCCTTTTTGAGACAGGGTCTCACTAAGTTGCTAAGGCTGGCCTTAAACTTGAAATCCTCCTGCCTTGGTGTCCTGATTTGCTGGATTACAGGCATGTGCAACCATGCCTGGCAGTTGTTAAGATTCTTTTTCTACTCATCCACAGAATTCTCCTGGACTTGGCCTCTGGCCTGCTTACTTGATCCTCATGACCTATCAGCTATATCCTGTTTTCACATCAGAGCACGAAGTCAGGAAGATATTTGTATGTCACATGGCAGATGCTACTGCTTGATGCTAGCAACAACTACTGGGGCTTTGGCAGCATCAAGGGTTAAGCAGATCAATATCTTCATATAACTACAGCTCATCTGTGATACAGTGGTTGGGATGTTCTACCCCAGGCTTGGCATCTCAACTAGAATTATTCATTCATTCTGTCTATAAACATTGACTGATTGAACTAGGCTCCAAGGAGCAATATTAATAAAAGTGAGCAATACTTAAGAGCTAATCAAGTGAGACATATTATACACATTAAAGACAATCCTATACTTCAATACCATTATTTTCCCTGTTTTACATCAAATAATTTACTCAAGTTTATACACCTAGTGTGTGAGGAGGATCTGAACCCAGTGCATTTGATTCAAAGAGTGCTTTAAAGTTCTCTAGTATGCTGTCATCCCAACTTCCCTGGTCTGTCAGGATCCTAGAAGTGACCTCAACTTTGCCTACACTCCTGATAATCCCCAATGGTCTCTATTTTACAAAAGCTCTGGTTCTGACTTTTCTTGTTCTGCTCCCTGATCTTCAACTTTCATTCTCTTAATCAGGAAGGGAGAATCTTTTGTAACCTGTTTCACTATAATCACATTATGTCAGAAATAAGGACACAGGAGAGATCCAGGTTTAAAAACAGCACAATGACCCCAAGCTATTATGGCTGGGCTCTGCCAGCTCTGGCAGCAAATGGTTGGTTTAATTTAGCATGTCTGTATTCCACAGGAACATCATAAGGGAAATTTAAGAGCACAGGCTCTAGAGGCAGCCTGAGTTCCAATTCAGGCTCAGTTGCTTGGAAGCTGTGTAGCACCGGGCAAGTAAATTAACCAATCTGAACCTGATGCCACAGAACAGTGGTACCTGCTTCCCAGGCTGCTGTAAGGATTGAATGAAGTCACATACATTGGCCTTTAGTCCAGCACTGGTACA